TACCAAAGTCTTCAATTTTTTCTCTCATTAACTGTTTTGAAAATAACAAAATTTGAGACTCATTCGATTCATTCAATGATCGGTTTTGTGAAGATGTGTGTGAACAACCAGCAATAAATTCTTCAAATGGATCTTCGTTATCACAGATTTGCTCATCAATATCAATAACACTTTCGTCAGTTGATCCAACTAAATTCTCGTTTAGATTTTGATTCTAAAAATAAAAGGATTTTTAAGATTAAATGCTGCATGAGGGCTTAAATCTAATGGTTAGATTTTGGAGCATATGAATCTGCCCTCTAATTATAAAACTTGAATATTTACTAACACCAGATATTGATTCTTTTAAAATCCAAGTTTTAATAAGATGATCAATTGCTATTTGTTTTTTGCAGCTGTTAAAGTACACATAAATCGAGGGTCTAAATAAATAGCTGTAAATAAAGTTAAATATTTAAAATAAAATTATAACTTAAGTCCTAATTTAATCATGGTAGGTTATGTAGAATCATGTCACCTGCAACAAATATACTATTGTCCATTAATTGTTCTTCAAGACTATTCATTGACTGCACAATAGAATTAGATAACAAAGAATTTATTTGTTGAAATTTACTTTTTGTTTGTTGCCATATACCAAAAAAATTACCCAGTGTCAAATCCTTTTTTTTAAGTCTTTTAGTGGCAAAATAAGCAGGCTCAAGTGAATTTACCTTCATAATTTAAATTAAGTACATTATAAGGTATATTTTTATTATATTTATTACTAATATTATGATTTACCAAACTTCTAATCTTGTCCCAATCACGATTACTTAAAAACAAATTAGAGTTATACAAATTTTATACACATTGTTATAAACCTATTTTATTATAAAAAAGAGATTATTATTTTGTTATGTTAGTGTTCAGTTGTTCTAAAATTTATATATTAAAACTAATTGTGTATACTTAAGATTATATAAAAAATGTTATTAATTAATTAAAATTAATATTAATAAAACACACATTACCAATATATACAATGTTATTTAGCTATTTACCTAACATCTTAACTGAAGTTATTTTAAAACCTTGTTCTACACATAGCTGAAAAGTGTGTACGCTACAACGAACACATTGTGTTAAATATTCCTCATTTTCTATTTCTAGAGCTGAATATACTTCTTGTTGCAAATTATTATCATCATTTAAATCAATCTCTGTATCTGTTATTATGTCTTCAATTGTAGATTCAGATAAAATGTCATGACCATCTATAAAATAAATACCAAAAATGAAAAATATGTCCAAATATGTAAAAATTATAAGTTCAGAGACCATTTCTTAGATGTCCAGTGTTTTCAGACTCAATATCTGCTTCAATATCATCTTCATTAAGTATATCATCGTCATTAGCATCATTGAATATCTTAACCATTTTCACAATATTTCTTCCATTGTCACAATGTGACTGTCATGTTATTAAATATACTTGTCGATTATCAATATCATACTTCTTCAAGATATTTATCAACTAGAAAGTAAACTTAGTTATGTTTTGTAACAATATTAAAGAACAAATTTAGTCACTAAACAAGATTTCATTACCACTTTTTTTAGGTACCTACTCAGATGTATGCTTTTCGCTTAATTCTTTCATTCCTAATGTCTTGATGTTTAACTTATCATCTTTAATATATTGCACATTTACACCAATAATTGATCGATTAAGTCTGGTAACACAATCAACCTTCAACGATACTAACTGTCGTATATTGTAGACAGTCGTCAAGATATTATTATTTAATATATATGTAATAGAGGTGGGAACATTTTAAATTGTAAACTATTGTCATAGGTCAGTGAAGCCACATGTGCTGAGGCAGCAATAAGATTTTACTATATAAAACCGCCGTACGCGCAGGCACGAGAGTCCCGTTGTCGCTGAGTGATTCGGCAAGGACGTAGGTACGACGGTTGTACGTGTGAAACGTCGATCGTAGTACGGGCTAGACAATTTGAATTTGCTAAGTGTTTCATTTATGTTTGTTTTAATATAATAAAAGTGTTTCCGACCTAAAAACCCGAGTTGAGTATTATTTCAAAGTCTTCTTCGTTCTTACCTTTAATATTGGAACAGTGCTCAGATCCACACACCTATAGTCAATGAGGTTTATTACAAACTGAACAGTGCTCTGGTTGTGGCGTCCTAATAGTCATTCCAATTTAGGAAACGGATGAAGAACTGACAAAACGCTACCATCGTACCTCAAAGGTTACATTGCTAATCTGAATTTATTCTAGAGACAGTCATTAGCCTAGAGCGTACGAGGGTAAGGTATAAAGTTGGTTTACCACGTATTATCCGATACAGGTGATACTACATAACCTTTTGTAGACATCTAGCTTAATATTTTTTAATATACCATATGCATGTTCTTTCACATGATTTCTAAAAATTTCTTGAGTTATTCTACAATCTATAAATATTTTTAAAAATGTAGCTACTATCAAATTTAATATTGATCATTGTTATTTAAAATTGTCTGCAATGTGTAGTACATACAGTGGAACCTCGATAAGTCGAAATTCAAGGGAAATACAATTTTTTCGACTTATCAAGGTTTTCGACTTACTAAGGTTTTCGAGTTATCAAGGTTTTAGAAAAAAAATTCGACTTAAAGAGTTTTAAAAATGTATGTACCTATGTATTAAAGTTTTAATTATTATGTACCTAGTATATATGTATATACAATGTGAAAAAATGTGATTATACAGATTATTTAAATAAAAAAATTATTACAAAAAAATATAATAAAACATGTGTTGCAACTTTATAAAAGATAATTTATTATTTTACTTTGACTTAAAATTTGAGATTTGCTATTATCAATTGTATTTTCTATTACATTTAAAGCAGAGTACACTTTATCGTCCACATTACTCAATTGTTCGGTGAATGTCCTTAGCAATATGAGGGCTGCTGTTGCTTGCTTCATTGAAACAATGAAGATTAGATAAAATTATCGGAACGGACAAGCCGATTAGACAAATGTTTATAAAATTATCTGTCATTATCCGTCATATTCGGAGCACAGAATGTTCGAGTTATCTATAGTTTTTTTTTCGAGTAATCGAGGTTTTCGCAAGGGGACTGAATTTTTTTCGACTTATCAAGGTTTTCGACTTATCGAGGTTCGACTTATCGAGGTTCCACTGTAGTTTCATAAAAAAACTAACAAGAGTTTTAAAAATTTAAAAAAATTAACATTATGAATTAAAATTTTTTTTAATTCAGCATCTTTGGCCATTAAAGGCCATAATTAAGTTATTTATAAGTTTATAGATATAAATACATGCACAATTTAATATTCAAATGACTTAAAATTTAAAAATTAAAAGAAAACAAATTAATTTAATTTAATCTAATTTTTTTTCATATTATCTTATTTTACATACTTAGCCTACATCATTTATGATTATTGTAAAAAGCTTGACAGATTATATGGATCTTGTTTAAAATAAAAATAAAAAAAAATAATGCTTACCTCCGCCTATTGCATCTAATAAAGGGTCAATAATCATTTTAAATCCACTATCTTTCATGAGTGTAAAAGGTCTTCCAGTAATTGTCACTAGTTGTATACAAGCTTCAATCAATTTTTGTTTGCTTAGTGATACATTTGATAATGTCTTTTTTGTGACAATAATCATATTATCAAGTGGTCCAACCTTTTGTTTCTAAAATCGGTAAAAAAATAAAATAAGCAGATAACTTGACGTCAAACAGTATTTAATTGGGGTCTATAAAATTTGGACCTCTACAAAATGTTTTCAACACCAACATTTTCAGTTTATAATATGGTCGTAAAAAATCTTGTTTTATCTGACCAATTATCAAATTTTATATTAAGTACTTATTGACTAAAATTATAATATACATATTTTCGACACTGCTCAAAAAAAAAATATTTGTATTTTTGACTTTAAGCTACCTACATATCCTACATAATATTATCTTTTATGCTATTATTATTTCTTTAAAAAAATCAGAACATATATTAGATATAACTATATAGGTATATGAAAATGCTTTCAAATACTTGCTTTCTAACAGTAGTTTCATTTCATTTAAAACTCGTATGATTAAAATGTTTAAAATTATAAAGTTGAAATAGTATAATATTACATTCATTCATTCATATTTTATTTGTAATATACTATTAGGTATATAATTTGTATATTGTATTAGGTAAAAGGTAGATTAATAAGGATATGTATCTAAATAAACTAAAATTAAAGGGTCAATTATTTAAATTTAAAAAAGGAACATAATATTAGGTAGTTACATAAACAGTTTGTAGTTTAGTACCTCTACTTACCTAGATAAAATGTATGAAATCAGGGGCGCCGAAGTATAAAAATATATGTAGGGCAAATCATAATTGACAACCCACCCACCCACCTTACCTAAATACCTATTTAAGTTAATTATCTTAATTGCTTTCAATAAGGCAGTTATAATATATATATATATCCTTAATAAGTTCATAAAACTGTGTTATACGTATAACAAGCAAAAATCCAAAATTATGGTACCCACTTTAGAATCATACAAATAAACTATTACTAATAAGAAATATATATAGTATTTATAAAAAAATTGTGTATTTTTATATTCCTCAATTTACAGTTTTGATTAGTACTATTTATGCAAACATAGATATTATGTTTAAATTCAATATAAAATATGAATATAATTATTATAGATCATTAGTAATAATGGTAATTAAATACAAATGTTTAAATTTTAACTCATTTCTTACATATTTAATATTAAATAATAATAACATAATGTCATAACAGATCAATTTTTAATTATTTAATATTATAAATTCATATTAATTGAATAGAAATAACAAATTATTATAATCAATGGTGTAATGTGTTTACAATAAGAAAAATTGAACATTTGTTCATAAAAAAAATATAACTTAAACATACATTAACAAAGTACATTAATACACTAATGCTTTACATAAGCTGGAACTTTTTCCAGCTAGCGATAAAATTATATTGTCTACTATTGGATTTAAGTCTTTTTCACAACTGATTTTCATCAAGTTTTCTAACCTATCCTGTAGCATGGAAGTTCGAAGTTTAGTTTTGATCAGTTTTAACTTTGAGAATGAACGCTCTACACTACAACTTGAAATTGGAAGAGTGACTGATAATTTTAATGCTACATACAAATTTAGGAAACAACTGGTTAAATTAGCTGTACAAAACATTTGAAAAAATTTTTTAGTACTCCCAATGTTTTTAATTGCTCTTTGATCATTATCATTCGAAGTTTCATTTAAATCATCATACGTATTTAGTTCAAGCATAGAAATGTTGTCATCATTATTATCATTTTCATCTTCATCATTACTTGATTTATTATTACTAACATCATGCAAAAACTTTGGTAAATTTAAGTTATTTTCAAATTCATTTAAATTTTTACAAAACTGCATATATTCAGAAATCAAACAATCTCTATTAATTTTTGAATAGACCTCACATAACTCTATAAATGAATCTTTTGGTGTCATTGTTGGATCATTGTGCACTTCTTGTATTCTACGATATGAGAGCAATGCTATGTCTTTTAATGGTCCAATATTTGTGGTTTCAAACCGGTCACTCAATTCATTTAGAGTCATATCTATTACAGCATTGTAAGTTTCTACCTCAAACTTTTTAATTGGACAAACAATAGGATCATATTGCATTAGTTCACCTAAATAATTAATAAAATACAATTAGTTGTTTTATTCACTAAAAATAACTAATATATAATTTAACCTTGAAAATATTTTTATATTTATTTTTTAGTTAATTACATAGCATTGTAAAATTGAAATAAATAATATCATACCTGCTTTAATTGGAACACGCCTAGGTCTGATATTTTTTAATGGTATAAAATCTGTGTCACTCTCATTGATAAAACTATCTGTTAATTTTATAATTTCCTCAAATGAATTATTTGCTCTCAATTTTCTAATCGAATTAATTGTTTTAGTTACAATATTTGTTGCCAATAAAATATCCATATCATGTGTTTGAAATTGTCTTGTAACTACTTCTAATATGTCGAATAGCTTTTTGAATGTGAAAGCAGTTAATAAAAATCTCCGTGATGTAAAATAATCTATAAGACCACTACAATTGGCACCAACAGTTGCATCAGTAACTCCTTCAAGATTTTTTATTTCTTCCAATGTTTGTAAAACTGCATGATGGAACTTGATAACTACATTCAAAGCTGCTGAATGGGAATTCCAACGTGTTGTACAGACTCGTTTAACAGCATGCTCTTGGGTGTATTTTAAGTCTGAGTGTTTTTTTTGAGCTTCTCTAAATGTTGCTGCTCTTTTTTTTGAACACCATAACAAGACATATAGACTTTCCAAATTTCCAAACAAGTCTCTTGAATTTGAGTCACAGGATACAGCTTGCTTGACTACCAAGGCTAGTCGGTGGGCATGACACCATACATACAAAGCTTGTGGACATTCTCTTTTTATATGTGCTTGTAAGCCTTTGTAATTTCCGCGCATGTTTGAAGCACCATCATAAGACTGCCCAACAAGGCAATCTTTCCAATTAAGTTTTTCTTTTTCCATAATAGCAACAAATAAGCTGTACAAGTCTTTTCCTGTTGTAATAGGTGATTCTTGAATAGCAATGACTCTTTCGTGAATTAACCCAAATGTATCATCAACATATCTAATAACAAATGATACTTGTTCGCGACGTGAAGCATCAAAAGTAGAATCAATAGATATACTAAACATATTGGATTGAACAACTGCTTGTTGAATTTGAGAGGAAATATCATGAGATATTGAATCTATTAACTGATTCTGTCTTTCCCAGGTAACAAAAGAAATTTGACCTTTTTTTTTTTAGTTTTATATTATTTAAATGGTCAGATAATGGAGCTGAACTTTTAGCTAATAAAATAACCAAGTCTTTGAAATTACCACCAGGCGAACTTACTGACCAGTTATCTCTATGACCTCGAAAAGCCAAATTGTGTCTTGCTAAGTATAAAAAAATGTCTATAATTTCATTTATTACTTGTCGATTCATTGCGACTTCAATTTTACGCTGATATTCCAAACTAGGCAAAATTGGAGTTGAAGTCTTTCGAAGTTTATACTTTAATGTGGCGTTTATGTGATCATTTGTAAGTTCATGATACTCTATTCCGGAAGACAAGTTTTTCCATGAGTCTAATCCATTTTTTGTCCATGATTTCTCTAGATTTTTGTGCAAATTTGTCCCAAATAAAAAACAATGCATGCAATATATTTTGTTTTTGCTTGGAGAATATGACAGCCAATCGCGGAGACATTTTGTTTTGTCAGGAAGAATCCGGTAATAGTATATTTCTTTAAAGCTTCTATTTTCTTTTGAACCATTTTTAGGAAAACTCTTTCCTGGAAGATCATTTGACAGTGGTTGACAAGGACCTAGTTCTAATATTAAACTTCTAATTTCCGGTGTTATATGTTTTAACTTGACAAAATGTACTGGGTCATTTCTGAACATGTCTACAGTCTCCATCTCAGTATCCACTTCGATATCGACAGTCTCCATGTCAGTATTGATAGAATTCATATCTATATAAATATATACATAAAAAAAAACTATTATTACCAACCTTTATTTTATTAAATATTTGTAAATATTATATATTATAAACATTTTTTACCTACCATTTTTATTAAAACAATTACCACTATCTTGATCAATTTCTTTTGCGATTTGACTAAATGTATTACCAACAACAGAGTCCAAAACTAAAAATGTGTATTTAAATAGGCATTAGAACAACATTTAAAACAGCATATTATAAACATTTTTACCTACCATTTTTATTAAAACAATTACCACTGTCTTGATCAATTTCTTTTGCGATTTGACTAAATTTATTACCAACAACAGAGTCCAAAACTAAAAATGTGTATTTAAATAGGCATTAGAACAACATTTAAAACAGCATATTATAAACATTTTTACCTACCATTTTTATTAAAACAATTACCACTGTCTTGATCAATTTCTTTTGCGATTTGACTAAATTTATTACCAACAACAGAGTCCAAAACTAAAAATGTGTATTTAAATAGGCATTAGAACAACATTTAAAACAGCATATTATAAACATTTTTTACCTACCATTTTTATTAAAACAATTACCACTATCTTGATCAATTTTTTTTGCGATTTGACTAAATTTATTACCAACAACAGAGTCCAAAACTAAAAATATGTATTTAAATAGGCATTAGAACAACATTTAAAACAGCATATTATAAACATTTTTACCTACCGTTTTTATTTAAAGAACTGGAAGTAAGAATCATGTCTTTTTGCTTAATTTGCTCATGAACACTAGAACCTGAATCATTTATGAACGCTAAAATAAATTTATTAAAAGATACTAAAATACTAAATTCTTATAAATAAATTGGTTTTATTTTATACGTTGTAATATACATGACTAGATCACGGATTTTTATGCACTAAGAAGTAACGAAATATGCCATATTATAATATGCAGTAAAATGTATTCACAAATAATTAATTAGGTACTTAAATACTTAATGAAAAAAAAAATGATTTAAAAATTTTCTGAACTTAATGTATTTTTATAAATTTTATCTTTATTTCAATTATTATTTAATGCCAACAAAATTCTGTTTAATATTCCTACTTGATAAAATATTATTTTATAATTTTTTTTTAAATTTTCTGTTAATTATGCAATAAATTTCAAATTTTGTAAACATTTGCAAAAATATGCAATAATTATTAAACATTTATCAAAGTGTAAGTCTTACCATCTGAAGTTGGATAAGGATAACGAATTGTATCGGTATCCATACATACTTTCTTCGGTTTCGGTATATTAAAAAATGAAGTAATGCTTCGAGAATTAATTTTTGTTTTACGTTGCTTACAATTGTCCAGGTGTCTTTTCCAATTTGTAATATTCAGATTTTCTCGTTTTTTACCGCATACACACGTCAATTTTTCGGATTCCGACATAGTAAATTTTTACTTAATAACACGTGATAATTAAAAAAATAAATAATTACCTATAATGTAGAATCAACACTATAATAATTAAATGATGCACAGTTGCCACAGTTTACACAAGAGCTATATAAATAAATGGTAACACAGCACACGACTGACGGACTTTACGTGAAAATTAATATTTAATAATGTTTTCATCGTATTAAGATAAAATAACAATTATATATAATAATATATACTTTTATTCTCTTATAATAAAACCATAAAATCTAAAAATATTTTGATATTATACTGGCATACTACCACTTTACGGGTATTCCATGTGATTACGATAACGATATTCCGCGATAATTTTAGATTTTTCGTTACAATTATTGTAGTATTGTACCAACCATCATTACATGTGTTGACGTATTTCCTGTTATTTATTCGATATTTTATGAAAAATACCCAGTATTCACTAACTACAAACTGTATAATATGACTTTCAACAGTTTACGCAGTACAAAATAATTCAATTCAACGGCCCTATACGAGTTACGAATAAATAAATACCTAATGTACATCATTACATTTAAGTTGTTAAAATAGCTATATTATCGTTATACGTCCTGTAATATTCTAAACTATTAACTATTCTTATACTATTGTATTAGTTACCCAACTACAATAGGTATTATATTATAGTGTATTACGTATAATAATTATTATACTTTACATAGGTACCTATTATATTTCTTATATATCTTTCTAGTTTCTACAGTTAACATCTATCAGGCATCAGCTACTGCCCGCTCGGCAACCACCCACACACCCATTTCAATATGTAGGGCAGTCGCCCTACATTAATATAGGTCTCGGCGCCCCTGTATGAAATATTTAAATGTTATATGTATACTGTGTATGCTAATGTGTATGTATACTAATGTCATACTTACTTTTGAAACTGTGGAATTGAAACAACCATCTCTTTTTAGTGTTGATCCGGTTAATCTCTCTTTTTCTTTTAAAAGTAATAGATATTCTTTATCTTTATGAAAAACTTTAACATGATTTTCTAAGTTACCAGAGTGACTTCCTGTCCGAATGGGGTTAACACAGTTGGATATTTGGCAGACACATTCATTTGTACTAATATTAAATTTGAAGTACATTTTCTGTACTGGGTTGGAAATTGTTCTACCCATAATGATTCTCAATATGTAGTTTATATACAAAATTAAGTAAATAATAAACTAATATAAAGAAAACGAATGCACTTTAAAACTATTAGTATATCTCTTATATTATAAAACACAAATAGTCTCCGTTTTTGGCCACCAGGCGCGACGCAGCAAATAAGCAACTCCGCGTTTCTTCCATGACGACCAATCATAATACTTCTCGCGCGTTCGCTAAATTTTCACGTCGCCGCTCGCTTATCTCCCTTTTCGTTATGGACGATTGACGTGAATATTTTCGAATATTATTTTCCCGAGTTATTCCGTATTTCTATATATTAGGTATATAATTTAATAAAAAAGTGCGGGTGCGATTTTTACAAAAATTGTGATATTTCCGTGTGTAAAATATATATATAATATGTAAAACGCAATATTCAGAAACGGTTCAAGTGTTATGTAAATGTCATTATTATGAATTTTATTATCGTACCGTTGTGGAAGCCGCCATTCAGCCATTCAGCATTTAAATAATATTAAAAATATAAGTAGTTTGAATGCACGGATTAGATAGACATTTTTCACGAGTATTGGAGTAAATTTAACTATTATAGCTAAGAGTTTTAGTAGGAGCTTGGTGTATCGATTGTTTATGACAATGTCGTTACATACGTAATAAGGTAAGTAATATTAAGTAACGCTGTGGCTAGAGACCCGGACACCGGGTATATAATGCGTAAATGTTAAATCCCCGGACATGATGTGCGCATGCGCGGGGACTTGTAATTTCTGTTATTCGGCGTCATCAATGTTATCAGTTATCAGATTAAAATCAATTTAATTGATATCGAATACCGCGTAAATTTGAATAATTGATTTTTATATATTAATTAATAATTTGAATATGAATTCAAATGTTATGTTAATGTGTACTTTAATTCCCACAAAAATACAATTTCTATATATTTTTATAAATTATAATATGTTTTATTATATAGTAAGATATAGAGTATGATGAAATACATACTCTACAGTCTACAGTCTATTTATATTTGAAACTGGAAAATGTGAACTGGTTTTGATGAACATTTGATTATATCACATTTTCTTTATTTTTATGGCTGGTTTTTTTTTTTTGTTTTATTTTTGTATTTAACAGTAAAAGGCGAATAACTGTTATTAAAAATTTTAAGTGTTAGTGGTTAATATATAAAAATCAATTATTCAAATTTACGCGGTATTCGATATCAATTAAATTGATTTAAATCTGATAACTGATAACATTGATAACGCCGCGCAGAAATTACAAGTCCCCGCGCATGTGCACATCATGTCCGGGGATATAACATTTACGCATTATATACCCGGTGTCCAGTGCCGCATTTAGACATTTTGTGCTGCGGTGCAAAAAAAATTTGGCGCCCCCGTATGAGGCCTAACCCCATATATGGGAAATATGGAGGATAAATTCTCATGAACCTTTTAGATTTTGAGCAAAGAAAAGAATATTGTTTTACAATAATGTGTTTTTTTTAAAAATATTGTTTAATATTTTCATGAACACTCACCCCCCCCCCCCCCCCGCCCCCCATAGATACAATTGAGTGTATTCCACTTGAGTCCTGCTTATAATTTACATCATATGTTTTTTTTTTTTTTACATATTTAGGTATTTACTTCATGGATCATATTAATATAAACTATGTGCAAACTTATGGTTTATTTTTTTAAAAATAAGTACAAATATTAATAAGAACAATATAAAAATATAATAAAATATTTGTTTAGGTACCTAAATTTTTCTTCTACTTTGTAGTGTAGCAAATTCATTGATAATATCATCAAATTCAATTTTAGCTGTTACATCAAATTCTATATTCATAATAGCTAAATCACTGAGTCTCTCTGCTGAGATACAAGACCTCAGATATGTTTTGACACGTTTTAAACATGAGAATGACCGTTCGGTCAAGCAATTACTTACAGGAGTACATAATAGCATTCTGAGAGATACATCTATATAAGGGTACATTCCTATTAAATCATTTTTTCTCAAAACACCACACATATCCTGGATAGTCTTAGGAGCCTCGTCACCGATACTTAATAAGTGGCTCCTAAAATGAACACATTCATTAGCAAATAAAGTACTGAGATCATCTTTATATTCATTTTGTAGTATTTCAGCATTCTTTCGGACTTTAATTGATGTCATCTCCGTTAATTTGAAAAAGAAGTTGTAATTTTTAAGTAGATTTTCATATTTTTCATTTCTTTTTTCTAGTTGTGACCGCAGTTGATCAAGTACAACAAAATAAGTTTTCACTTTAAAATCAGAGTATTCAACTGTTGTTTCTTTAGATGGCCCTTCATCAAAAAATTGTTTTCTTATTTGTAATCGTTTGGTACAGGATTGAAACTGCTTAATTTTACTTTTTTCAATTGCACATTGTTTAAAATACTCATAGTTTTTATCAGAGCGTAAATCAATGATATATGTTATTAATGATTTATACAATTCACACACTACACCCAAATCGATATTGACAGCTTGTAATAATCGTTAAGTTGAATCGGTGTAATATTTGACCCCAGAATATAGATAGGAATGCAGTTTCTAAATTATTTAACTTGTTGAGAATTCCACTAGCTTCATTTCGAGTAAGTGTTTTCTCAGTATCATCATTATTTATTAAATTTAATGCATTAATAATTAAAGACCAGTTTTTGTTCAGAGATTGGCAAGCGTTATCTCTAGCAGACCATCTTGTTTCTGAAAGTCCCTTAACCGAAGCGTTTAGAACTTTCCAGCGGTGAGTAGAAGCTGTGAAAAACGTGTAAACATTTTGAAGTAAATTGAAGAATAAAACGGCTTGAGTACAACAATCAACTGCATTAGTTCCAACCAGGTTAAGGGAATGAGCAGAGCATGGTACAAATTTTGCTAAGGGATTGGCTTCTTTTATTTTTGCTTGCAGTCCGGCGTAATACATTAGTTGTTTTAATTTCAAACAGCATAATACATAATATTATATAATACCTACTGTTGTCTGTTATTAAAATAATTTACATTTTAAAAGTTCATTTTTCATTTTATTTTTATTAATTTTTTTATTTCCGACCACAAAATTTCGGCGCCCCCAAAATACTAGCGCCCCGGGCAGTTGTAGCCAGTGCCCCCCCCCCTAAATGCGGCACTGCCGGATCCGGGTCTCTAGCCACAGCGTATAAGTAAATTCAATACATTTCAATTTTTTAAAACATACATGTTATGTAATATTATTATATTATATACGAGGGGTAATTACAGAAAGTTTGTACACCAGATTACTGATTTAAATGATTATACCTATGATTTCCCATGACTTACTACAAAGATTACCTATGATTACCCATGATTACCCCCAAGGTGTTTACCCCTCGATTATAATATACTAATATTGTATTACCAAGTTTAATTACTTCAATTCATACCTTATACCTGTACTAACCTTTACATTGGGTTACACGTATTAATTTTTTGCAATATTTCAAACAAATTTCAAAACAAGAAAACTACATTTACATATTATATGTTATAAAATTATAATAAATTGAATTTAAATTCCTCCAAAGGTGTAAAACTATGCTTAAAATATTGTAATATTTGTCAACATTTTTATTATGTCGTTGGCATGCAAAAATGTATTATACATGATTTATATATATTATATTAATAAATACATAAGTATCATTTATATTCTACTTTTTTAAACTTTATTATAGGACAACTGTATGCAGCGTTTTCCCGAGTGAGGGACTCTCAATCCATAAAATCCATTAGAGTTGATATGTACAGTGATGGCCGTGGTAGATTCGTCACTAAGAACATTGTGTACAGAGAAATTCTACAAGCGATATAACTGTACAATGAAGTCTACAAGAACTTAATGAACATCGAATCCGATCTGTGTGACACATGGTTTATAAGCAGTCGTAAGTACGACTCGCGGAGGAGAGAAAGTTCGACGACCTCCAAATAACCAATAACCAAAATAATAATAACCAAACTAAAGTGTATCACTTTATGCTATTTTAATAGGAACTAATAAAACAAAGTTAATAAAAAAATATTGATATAATATCAATGTCCAATATGGCAAATTATAAATAAATCAATATAATACTGTTTTTAATGTTTTAGTTTTTTAGTAAAAGTTAGTTTAGAAATAAATATATTAGAATTTTCTACATTGAGTGATGTCTGTATGTTATAGTTAGAGAAATTGAGGAAAATGAGGAAAATATGTTCACTCACTTAAGAAAAAGAAAAAAAATTAACACTTCTTTAAAAGAGAGAAATTTAATAAAAAATACTAAACTTCTATTAAAACATAAAGTTCTATTACCATGCAATGCAAATTGTAAAAAAAAATTTACACAGAATATACCAGAAGAAAGAAGACATGAGATCAATAAAATGTTTTGGAGCCTTAGTTGGAAAGAAAGAAGACTAGTTGTTTATAATTCTTGCAAACGTGTTGATGTAAAAAGAAGACATGGAAAAGGGACTGATATAAAAATAAATAATTCGTTTGGATATCATTTAACTGATAATAATTCAACTGTTACAAAAGTTGTAAAGTTTTTTTCCTTACGACTTTAGGTTATAAAAAAAATAATGACAGAGTGATATTTGATATCTTGCACAACACATATGATGGTGCATTAACTCCACCATCAGATAAACGCAAATATAATAGACCAAGTTCTGAGTACAGTATTGAAACACATGATTTAGTTAATGCTCATATCGAACTTTTCCATCCAACTATTTCACATTACCGCAGGGAACATGCCCCAAATGTACGATATATTCCTAGTGACATAAACTGGAGCATTGTAGCATTGTATCAACATTCAACAACATGCAGAATAATCTTCAAAACCAACTCATGATTCTGATACAGTATATTACTCTGCTGATTTGCAGAAAATAATTATGTTGCCTAGAGTAGATTGTTTTAAAAAGGTAATATTTGTTCGTAGACTGACAGCTTATCATGAGAGTTTTGTACCTCTTGGTGAAAAATGTAAACAAAACACAGTTTCTTGTATTTGGCATGAGGACATAATTAGCACATATTTTGCATTTTTTACACAACTAAGAGATGTTCCACACATTGTGATATGGCTTGACAATTGTTCAAGCCAAAACAAAAATTGGACATCATTGAGCTTCTTGATATTTTTAATTAATTCTGATGAAACATCAACAAATATAATTGATTTATACTTTTTTGAGCCAGGGCATACCTTTATGAGTGCTGATAATTTCCACCACCAAGTGGAATTATCATTGAAAAAACAAAAGAAAACTTATGATTTTAAAGACTTTGCTGACTCCATTAAAAGTGCCAAAAAAACTGGTAATATAATAGTAAAACAAATGGAAATAAATGACTTTTTTATGGGAAGACAATAAAATGGTATCAAAAATTAACAAAAAAGCAAATAGAGTTTAACTGAGAGATATTGTTGCTATTAGAGCTAAAAGAGGCAATTTTAATTTATTTTATAAGACAGATATTACTGATGAACAATACAAGGTATTAGACTTTCTAAAGAAAACTCATCTAGCAAAAACTAAATTGCCACTTGCCAAGACTGTTCCATGTGGTATTGAGTTTGATAAGAAGAATGACATTCTTGTAAAATTAAAAGAGGTTCTTCCAGAGAACCGAAAAATATTCTGGAAGAATTTGACTGTAGAACATCATTAGACCGTCATTTAAAATAAATATGTAATTCTCAAACAAAATATATTAAATTGTTTTATTAAAAAATTATATTAGTTAGGCAATTACTTAATCATTTTTAATTAATTGTATTTAAGTAATTAATTTTTAACTATCTGGTCAATTCAAAGCCTGAAATTGTTATTTACTCAAAATGTTTATTATAAATAAGATGTTCCTTTTTTTTTATATATAACTACCAAGTGGTTTTAATGTGATTTAAGTCCATTCAAAAGTCTGAAATGATTATTTATTACAAAAAAGATATACATTTATTTTATTGTATAACTATGAAATAGTGTATATGTGATATAATAGGTCCATTCAAAAGACTGAAATGGTTATCTATTTATTTAAATCGTTATTTTTATAATATTTAGATTTTATATTTGTTTTTTTTATTTCATACTTGTTAAGTTATTTTCTAAGTCCATTCAAAAAACTGAAATAGTTATTTATTCAAAACATTTATTGTAAACAAGAAGTTACATTTTTTTTTTTATTTTATAATAAAGGTAATAGTCTTAAATTTTAATTCATATGAATGTGTACCATTAATAATAAAAAGTTTCCTTATGGAGATACTGCATTTTTTAAAGTTTATCTTTCTTTTAATACACGATAATACTAGATAAAAATGCAGTATCTCGTTAAAAATGAAAAAAAAACAAAAAGAATGATATAAGTATAAAAAAAAATATTCAAAAAATTAAGGATGCCTATCACTAATAATTAATTTTAAAAAAAGTGTGTAAAAATAATGATTTTATGGTAAAAAACCAAGAAATCGAAAAACTCGGTAAATTTCCGTAGAATAGTAGCTTAAAATGACTTTGTTTTAATTTTTCTAAATAGGCAAGTTAGTTATTTATGCTTGCCTATTGTATCGATTTGTTGGCCGTTAGAAGTATGATACTCGTGCTTTGTTCCGTATCATAATCCTTATCACAAATTCTAAACTTTACAACCTTTGCGACTTTTATAATTCCAACGACATTGTCTCCAAAATCGGTACCCACTCTCAGCGAGTCCAACGGGCCCCGAGTTACACTTAGAGCTAGTCATATTATAATATAATATGTACCGATTTATCAATATTATAATAATATAATGATAATTATCATTCAAATTGTACCTATATATTTTTATTATTATTAATTATTATTTTTGACAGCTTACCCAACAGTACGGTTAGGTATAGCTTTGGGGGATTTTTTTTCCTAGATTCACATTTAGAATATTATTGTAATTGTTCGCGACTCATATATCGGGCCGTCTCCGTGAGAACACTATTGATGTACCCAATCCGCGGTTGACAGATAGGTACGCATTATGCATTACGCATTATGCGGCACTTTAACCCCCCTGGCGCACCGCATTTTGGTGGACTGTGGGAGGCGGCAGTCAAGTCGGCAAAGTCCCTTCTGGTCCGGATCATGGGGGAGCATACGTTTACTCTTGAAGAATTCAACACCATGTTGTGCCATATTAAATTCTCGGCCGCTCGTCCCCGGTTCTACTGATCCTAACGAGGTAGACTATCTATCGCCGGGACATTTCCTCATAGGTCAGCCGTTACTAGCAGTGCCTGAGGAACCCGTTTCGCCCTCTCAGCGTTCGCTAAGTAACCGCTGGAAGCTAATTAATCAGTGCGCCCAAGCCTTTTGGCGCCGCTGGAGGGACGAGTACCTGCAAACCTTGCAGACGAGGGGACGATGGACGGCTGATGCTCCAAATTTGGTGGTTGACGACATAGTCGTTGTCAAGGATCCGCATTCACCACCGTTAACCTGGCGTATGGCCCGTGTAATAGAGACAGTGCCGGGTGCCGACGGTGTCGTGCGCGTAGTGCGCCTTCGGACGCCGACAGGTCTCTTGACACGTCCAGTCGCAAAGGTGGTAAAGTTGCCCACTGCGTAAATCTCTCATCCTCAGTTTCTGATCCATGTAATTTATAACAATCCTTTTATTTATTTAATTTTTAATATTGTATGGTAAAATACATGCCACGCTCGAAACTTTGATGGGGCTCTACACAGGGATTCCATTGGCTCGTAGTTCGGCGGGGAGGTACTGACGTTTGACCCAAAATATAAAGGGGTACTATTTAATTATTCGTGAACTGTATTTTATGGACACCGGTCATTACCATGTATACTGTATTGTTCGCACCTCCACCGCCACATTGTGTATCTATTACTATTTGATGTATATATATATATATTTGTTTTTTTTTTTTATTGTATTCACACTCAACATTCATCATCGCTCGACCGAAAGTTGTCATACGTCTCCGTATCCCAAGGGGGAGCATGTTCGCGACTCATATATCGGGCCGTCTCCGTGAGAACACTATTGATGTACCCAATCCGCGGTTGACAGATAGGTACGCATTATGTCACCTGCGGTGCGAACCGACGGACGCCAATGGCGTCCGTATTGCGTCCAGGGTCCGTTCGAGCCGCCCGCCGTGTGTCCGGCGTCGGTGCCTGTTCGTTGTTGTCTTTTTTGCAGAGTTGATTAAAAACATGATTTTTTTAAAAAAATCAAAAAAATTGTTTTAATCGTTTAAAACATGATTTTTTTGTTTAAAACATGTTTTTTTAAAATGATTTTTTCAGCTGTTTTAAACATGTTTAAAACATGATTTAATCGAGTTTAAAACAAAATATGTAATTTATTTAAAAAAAAATCGTTTATTTAATAATTTAATATCATAATTTTTTTATAACTTGACGTGTAATTTAACCACGGCTATCGGTTTTACACTTAAAAATCGTTTTTGAATATTTTGATAATGATTGATGATAAAGAACTGATCTGTTATCTACATCGTGATAAAGAATACTGATTACTGTATTTACTATTTACTATTTTAAATTTTGGTGGGTTTGCGCCACAATATTTCCGATTATAAAATATGATAAAGGTAAAAAATATTAAATAATAATATGATATGATATCAATGAAATTTAATTTTGATGTTATTGAGTTATTCTTCTGCATCTGACATTACTACAATACTACATTAGCGACAGTGTGAAACAAAATAAAACTTAAAAGATAAAACACATGTTCACGGGACGAAGACGTGATGACATTTGGAAATATTATAGTGAAGTTTCTAATAAATAAATAATTAATAAATATATTACCTACAGAACTACAGAAATAATATATTATATAACCATTGAAGTGTTAGTAATTTAAATAAGTAAAATTATCATTATACATTTTATAAATTTTAAATTTGTTTATGAATTAAAAAATAATAATAAATAGGAGTTGCCAGTACGAACTTACAAATAATAAGTTATATGCGCTGCATAAATTATGATTTTCTGTTTTAAACTAGCTGTTTTTTTTATGTTGTTTAAATCATTTGTTTTAAACGTTTTAAACAAAACCATGTTTGATCAATTTAGATGTTTAAAACATGTTTTAAACAAGTGTTTAAAACAAAATGTTTTAAACATCTCAACTCTGCTTTTTTGCCGTATGTCCGGCATGTTCGTAGCCGCACTGCCGCGTAACTGTTTGTTGTTCTCGCGTGTGTTTTTGGAGTTCGTGCGTCCAGTGCCAGATTAAGATCGACCGTAGCCCTAGGCATACATTTTTTTATAGCCCATTGTTAAAAAGAAAATAAAATTATAAAAATGTTTAGATTCATTTAATTATTTTTTATTCACAACTTTTTTCTTGCTTTTTTAAAGCTGTAGTAATTTATTGCCTCATTTAAATCGATAGCATTTAATAATTCATTTTCAATATTCAGTAGAGCTAATGCGTTTAACCTTTCCTCTCACATAGAAGATCGTAAGTAATTTTTTACCTGTTTTTCACTGAAAATGCCCGTTCCCCGGTACAATATACTACAGCTGCACTTTTGAACGCCCGGTTAAACTGACGTCTGACACAGTGCGTCAGTGCCACTTTAAAAAAAAATATCCCCCTCTGAGGGCCACTTTTATCTAGCCCTAGGCACGTGCCTACCCTGCCTATACGTTAATCCGGCACTGCGTGCGTCGTGTTGCAATCGTAGTACTGTGTGCGAGTTATTCAGTGGATACCTAGTTACGTAAATCCAATTCGGCAGTCGTTTAGACTGAAATAAGCACAGTGCACCGTGCAATATAGCAGTGGCGGATCTAGGATTTTCTCATGGGGGGGGGGGATATAAAATATTTTCGTACATAATATGTATAGGTATATAAGCTTTATTCTATATTAAATTTACAATACTAAATTAAATTTTCTTGATGACAGAGCCATAGCATCAATGACTTCATCGGGTGTCACTTGTATTGTCCTATGGACAGACAACATGGCAAGCCCATTCAGTCGCTTCTAGGTACATAAAAAAAAAAAATAAAATAAAAATATGTTAAAATGTATTTATCATTAATATATACTATATACCTACCTGACCCATAGAATTTCTCAAGTAAGTTTTAAGTCTTTTTAATGTCGAGAACGTTCTTTCAGGGGTAGCCGTGGAAACAGGCAATGTGCAAAGAATTTTTAACAAGTAATGTACATTTTGAAATATTTTTTTGTCACATAATGCAAGTGCATCAATGCTAATTTTAAGAACTGAATGAGTTCTTGAAAGTTTGGTTCACATAAACTTATCCTTAAAATTGGAGCACCTATAATGTTACTAAGAAATCTTAACCCACCTAAATTGTGTAATGGAACTAGATTGCAAGTTAAATCTCTGCACAAAAATGTAATAGAAGCTATAGTTATCACTGGGTGTGCTAGAGGAGATATAGTTTTAATCCCGAGAATAACGTTAATCCCAACTGATTATCCCTTTGAGTTTAAAAGAATACAATTCCCACTCAAAGTTTGCTTTGCTATGACTATTAATAAGTCTCAAGGACAATCATTGGGCATGGCAGGGATTGACTTAAGAGAAGAATGTTTTTCACATGGACAGTTCTATGTCGCATGTTCTAGAGTTAGCTCTGCCAGTAGTTTGGTTATTTTAGCACCAAAAGGCAGTACCAAAAATACTGTTTATAAAGAGGTATTGAGATGAACAAAATATGTCATTATAAATATTGGTGGATTTTTATAAAACCATAATGTTTTTGGGTATATTTTATTTCAACATTTCGTCGATTAGAATTGTATCTTACAATTTGTTTTCAAAATATTAAAATAAAGTAATTTTTTGCTGACTTCTGATTGTAACAATACATGGGCAACCTAGGATAAACTTATCTAAAAGCAGCCTGTAATAAATATAAAAACTGATAAAATAAAAGTTATAGTAGGTTACACAAATAAACTGTACACGGGCGAAGCCGGGTTATTCAGCTAGTGGTGAATAAAATTCTAATAATTTTTGGAAACTATTCCGTTCTTCAGACGACATAGAGCTATTTGTTGTAAATAAACATTCAAAGCCTATAATTTAAAAATACATTTAAGTCACAAGGTATCTATTAACAAAAATTAAAATTCTAAATTTACCTTCAAAAACTTGCTTATGTGCCAGAAATCTTAATTCTAACTGTGATATAAAATAATCAATATAGGGAATAAACACAAAAATCCTAAAATAATCTTCTAACCCTTGATTTTCATCATTGAAGTTATGATTTGCCCTGTTTTTCTGCTTACTAGTTAAACGTTTTCTCTTAATTTCAACATTAATAATATCTGACATTTTCTGTATGCATGAAAATGTAATAAAATAAATAAAATATATTACATGCATTAATATTTTCAGTATTATTTAGGTAATATAATTATTACCTCCATGGAACTATATATAACTTTGAATTCTTCCTCCACATTCTCTCTGATATTTTTTAAAGCAGTAATTGTATCCTGTGCAATCTCTATGGCATATTTGAGATCAATTCTTTGGCTTTGTAATTGCTTGCATAATGGTAATCCAAATGAAAATATTCCTACAACAGACATTAATAAATTCAAGGTGCATTATTTACAAGTATACAAATAAAAAAGATAATAAAATAAATTTTTATTCCTTTTAATGTGCATACTTTTATGACAAACAGTGAAATTAAAAATTCAGTATCAATTGCATTTCTTAACATGGACGCATCAGACGAATCTTTCCATTCCGATATTTCGTCCAAAGAAAGCATAACATATGGTAGTAATTCAGAGAAATCATTCAATTAACTTACCTCTACTTTTTCTTCATCATTTAAATTGCGATCAACAAATAAAGCAATGTCATTATTTCTTATTGTTATACCAGAGTTGGTCAAGCAATTTGTTTTAGTCTTGCAGAAAGAAGTGAAAAATAAATAATATTATATGCAAAGTGTATCACATATTACAATACTACTGAACTGTAAGCGCTCAAGAGAATAAAATTAATTTTAAGAAGTGCCAATCGAAAAATCAAGGCAAAGGAAAGCTAGAAAAATAACTATATTAAATTGAAAAATAAAATAAAAAATAACTTACATTTGTATCTCCATTGCTTATTTTTTCTTCATTAGGCTGTTGCTGTTCAGTAACATGAATTTTCATGGGTTTAGGATTACCTGATTTAGTCACATCAGAACCTAGTGAATTATCTGCCCGTGGTGGTGAATTTGAAATTTTTCTTTTTAAAAATTGTAATATTGATGCATTTTTAATAGAAGTATCCATGATAGATGTAAAATGTATTCGAGAAGTAAAATCAAGACGTTGGTAGATTGTATCAGTTATCACAGAATAATTCAATAATACGTCTATGGCATAGATAATATGGCCATATTATGATACAGTCTGATATGAAGTTAGATACGACGTGTATCTTTTTTGGTTACGAGATAATGAAAACGAAATAATAAAAAAATAGTTTTTATTTGAATAATTGTGATTGCAAAAATTGCATTGCATTGGCTGCAAAAAAATTTTTTTAACCCACAGCCCACCGGGGCGGGATCTATCCCCCATATCCCCCCCCCCCGTATATCCGCCACTGCAATATAGTGCGTCCGTTGGGTGGAGCTTCACGTGGTTGCACGTGTTCGAAACTGACCGGTACAACACTGTCGTCATCGAACAAGTATCGTTGGACCCATCAACCTCCAATATCGCGGTACTACTGGTCGATCGGATGGTGAAATTGCGTTATCAATATTATTCATTATCTTCACGGTCGTATCATTATTATTCGTATGTATTATTGTAGGATTTACGTGTCCCCGTGACCTAGTTACGGCCTTATTTTAACTTATTGTAATTTTAAATTTATTATTTGTATACGTTTGACGGCGTTTATTATTGTTAGTTATACTGTGGAGACGTCCACCCCAATTTTCTTGAATAGTTCAATACATATTATTATTCCATCAAATTTTGAGTTCCTTTTATTTATAGTACTATCATCCTACTTGTAAGTACGAGTCTTTGGGGCTAACTGTCCATTAACCCTAGGTTACACGCATTAAAAATATTCACGAGATTCCACGCACACGGTGTTTTTGACCGTGTATTGAAATATTTCCATTAAAACTCGATAAATTGAAATAATAATTATTTTATTGATTTTATTTTAAATAAATAAATATTGTCAAATGATTTAATTGATACATAATATAAAAAAATTAAACTTTTATTTAAATTTTATTACATATTAGATTATTAATAATATAAAATATTTTATTCTAAAAAAAATCATCTTCCATCGTTCGTTGTGAACAGTTTTGGCAAATCGAAGGCGCTGTATGTTCTTTACATATATATGATTGGCACTCGTTACACAAATTCAATGTTTTTCGGTTTTTTTTCCAATTACAAAATGCACATCTTCCAGGAGCATTTGACGTCTTTTGTACTGGTTCCTCTATAGCATTTGTGATTTCACGTATTCGAACTTTTATATTCATTGGAATGTTTTTTATCTGTACTCTTTCCAACATATATTTATAAATTAATGCTTTTGAAAGACATTTTAAATATTCTCTGCGAACAATTTTTGCATTAGTGTTACTAGCATAAATAATTTGGCTATTTAAGCCCGCAATATTTAGAACAGAAAAAAATATTGTCAATGGCCAACGCCGGCTATTTCTTGAGACGGAATACTTTCCTTTCATTTGGTCAACAGTGTCGACTCCCTCTTTGGTCGAGTTATAAAATTTGATCATTTCAGGCTTTGATCTAGCACAGTCAGTATCAATGCTATCATCGTTATGCATAGTTGATATAACTAAAACAATTTTATTAGCTTTAGGTTTATATGACACTAAAGTCATGTTTTTTTTGAAACCAAAAATACTACTTTCATTCGGCCGCTCTTTGAGTTTTTGAACAAAAATTGGTGGTATTTCTCTCTTATTCTTACGTAATGTTCCAACCATGGTCAAATTATGGTTATTGAGAAGGTCTTCTGCGAGAGGAATACTGCTGAACCAATTATCGCACGTAATATTTCGACCTGAACCAGAAATTGGCCTAATCAATCTTTCCACGACACTACAAGCACTGTTATTTAAGTGATAGGGCCCGTTTGGCTGCTTCCCTGCATATATTTCCAAATTATATGAATAATATGTATTTGAATCTACTAATGCAATTATTTTGAGGCCATACTTTGCGGGTTTATTAGGAATATATTGTCTAAAACGACAACGACCTCGGAAAGACTCTAACATTTCATCAATTGTAACATAATTATTAAATTCATAATAGTCTTGACATCTTCTAACAAAGTCTTCAAAAAATGATCGTATTGGTGCTAGATTGTCTACAGATTGTCTCATTGCACGTGTTGTTATATCATCAAAACGAATTGCTCGAAGTAATAAATAAAAGCGATTCATACCCATCGATAATCTAAAATATTCAATACCTGTACCGTCCATAGCCCATAAGTCCTTTATATTCACATGAGAAGACTGATGAACACCTGCTAAATATAATAAACCGATTAGCGCTTTTATTTCTGTTGGACTAGTCGGTCTTGCATCACGTGAACGATCAAACTTTGGTCTTATACGGTCAAGATAAATATTTGTGTATGTAACAATTTGTTCCAAAATAGAATCTGGAAAAAATAAATTCCACGATTCTTCAACACTATTTGCATTTTTAGCAAGCCCTTTTACTCCAGGTATATGTCTAACTATATTATGTCATCTTATTCTATTATTTTTTGGTGGAGGACCATATTTCCAAAAAGTTTTACCATCTTTCCCTATAAATTGCGGTCCGTTCGACCAATTAGAAAATAAATAGGTGCCATTATCTTCATAATCACCGTCTAAAGATTGTTCAGAATCACTATTATGACTTATATATTCTACCTCATCAACTCCTTCTTCATCACTGCCATCGATTTCGTCAAACTCGGTATTTCCATCATCAATATTTTCAATAAGTAAACGAATTTGATCGTCGTCCATTCTAATGAAAAAATAATATAATGTAAAACAAATATATTGAAAATATAGTGCGACTAAAACAAAAAAATACCTGCTAAAAATAAAATGTACTGATACTTACATTTATAAATGTTTTATCTGTATTATACTCGTAGTTACACACGGTATGGCGAACCAATGTCAACTAAAAACAATCTTGCCAGTCACAATGAAAATAAAATATTCATTTACGTTTTATCGATAAGGAATAACGTCTAATCGGCGATAAGAAAGTTAACATAAGTTAAAATTAAATTGTGTGTCAATGTCACAGTATAACACGCACACGGTCTTTTAGACCGTGTTTTAATAGGTAATGGACTTTGAACCCTTCTATAGTACAGGCAACAAATCGTATACAGTTAGGAATTGTATCTAATGTTAGTTTATCATCTAATTAGAAGGTACCTAGATTTAGTTAGGTTAATATTTCGTATTTTTGAAACAATGAACAAAATTCAAAAAGCCCGGTCTTTTTGACCGTGAAGCGTGTACTCTAGGGTTAAGAGCTTCATCGGCGTACAGTAATATATTATAATATACTATATTTTGTTTGTTAATGTAATATTATTACCTTCGCTCACCGCATGCTCACATAATATTACCTGTTGGCTAATATTTATCTACAGACTATTGTGGGTATCAGGTACGTAGTTTGTTATAGGTATATTATGTAGTATTGACTTTTAATTATAATATAACATAATACAGGTATAATAGCTGATATTTGTTTAGGTGGCCAGGTATATATGATCAATCATTGTCATGTTCGTCATGTCAAGTCTTATATTATGTTTACTGTGTATTAAATAAGACATATTAAGACATTAAGTACTCTTTTGACATTTGGTTTTTCTTATTTGCAATTGTTATCATAGGTAATTGCCGACACGTCGTGCAATTGGCGATTGAAAGTGATAAGATATAACGGGGACGCTTTGTATCATATTTTATATGTTATTTTACTTGTTCCCCGTTAGTCGTTACAGATCCACCCCCCGCCGGCTTGAAAATTGATAAGCTTTCAATCGCCAACAGTACTAGATAACAGAATACTGGGTTTTGTATAATATAATACTATATTAAAGGTCCCTGCAGAAATTCGCTTCATTATAAACCAACCTCTTATTTAATTTTCGTTTATTCAACACAATTTCTATAGGTATAAGTATACCTACATAATGTATACATATATCCGAAACATCGTTCTGATGAGTTTTAGCTTATTTATGTTAAATTTAATTAATTTAGTAACTAACATTTTTATCTCGGGTGTAGAATAATTAAACCTAATAATATATTACCTAAATTATATTGAAAATGCTTTGAATGTTTTATTTTTACTGTAAGTTGTTTTAAAATTTCATAATTAATAATAAGACTCGTTTCATAAAATATTGCCGTGAAGAAAGGTTTAATGTTTAATCGACAATTTTATTGTTCCCAAAAACAATGTTTGGAAATTATTTGTTGAGAATTGAGATTACATTTGCTGCAATCGTATTTGAAACAAAATTATATATGAACAATTTTATGAATACAAATTGTTTTAATTAGACAACCATGAATGGGGAATTTTATGGTATCTTTTAGGCTACAAAAAATCGAAATTCAGAGTAAAAATTCTTGTGAAAAATAATCCTGTTTGAGATATCGTTATATAAAAGCTGCCGTCATTTTTCCCACCGTTACATTGGTCCACCGATACCCCCGTCCCGACGGACCTTATCGGTGATAATATACCGTATACCCACACAGACCAGTTTTGTTTTTCTTCAGTGACAGAACTAGTGATGCGAGTTTCATGACAGAGAATCGATTTTTGAATCGAAAAAAATCGGAATGAAAAAAACGATTAAAAAAAAATCGATTTTTTGAGAATCGATTCTTAAACTATCGATGTTTTCAATCAGTAGATTGCGCTTTTTGACCTAATCTAGCTCTCCTTTGTAACGCCCGCGTTCATAATGATTTATATATAAAGGTTTTCCATACTCATTAATGCCAGTGCGAAGACTCCCTGCCTTAGTCCCACTTGATTTCGGAGCGAGTATACACTGGAAAGTGTTGTAGCTCTATGCCCTATGGTAATGGCTACATCAATCACAACGGAACTCACCACTTCAATGGACAGTGACAGTGTCCAAATGGTGATAGCTGGTCACACGGGGGAGGATGAATCGCCTTAATTTTTTAATTTTTTTAAATTGTATTGAATAAATTACTAAATTTAAAATGTTTTTACTATGCATATAACTAACACATAAAATGTCCATTCAGAAATACAAATACTTACCATGTATAATAATTTTCAAACACATTTTTTTTTGGTAATAAAACACTTGTTCATAAAATCATAAATTGATTTAATTATTTTACTAGGTAACTAATTATTAACTTAAAGAGGTATATTCAATTTTCAAAACAGATTTTAATAGACTAGAGTTCCTATATGTATACTATAGAGGTCTCAGAAGTCAGTATATTATTTGTAACAATAACTTTTGTAGACAGAAGTCTACAAAGGAACCTAATAGGTAAATAACTTTATTGAATTTTGCCATTATCAAAGTGGGCAAATTTATGATAAAAAATATTAGTTAAGTTAATACTTAATAGTTAATAAACAATGTAATCAACACCAAAATTGTAGTTATAAGAAAATATTTGGCTTAGTTAAAAATATGTTAATTATTAATGTTTAATTACCACCTAGGCAGGGCTGCAAGAGGTTAAAGCTATATAAAAAAGTGACTAAGTGACTGAATTTAAACATAAAAGTGACATATTATTTAATTGATTCTAACTTAGTAAATTTGGTTCATTATATTTTTGTTAAATTTTTTTCACGCATTTATTTTTTTTATTTGTACTGAGTAATTTGAATTTTGAAACTTAATATTTTTAAAATGTTGACCTATTACTGTTATTAACGCATTTTACTCATTAAAGAAACATTCTTGATGTTATGAAGTGTGTACTAGCAGTAACATATATTAGTACTAAAGTACAAAATGTAAAATATTACATTAATAATAAGTAAGAATGTGATACAATACAAATATATAATACAATATAGGTAATGTTGAAATATAAGTTTCAATTGACCGAGTTAGGATTTAGGTATTTAATATGTAGGTAGATAAATAATACTATAATGATCATGGTAAACACTGTTATGTTTTTATTAATATAATTAATTGGTACTTTCAAATATTATAATTATTAAATTAAATGGACCAATCGTGGGCCACTTAATCTTGTTTAAGGGACCATTAGCTCACTATTGATTCATTAAATGTTTAGTGTATATATACAAATAATTAATATATAAACACATTATACATATTTACAGATATTCACATTATACATATTTACAGATATTTACATTATACATATTTACAGATAATTACATTATATATATTAACAAAATGGTAGCAACAAAATAAGTATTTAATTAATCTAAATGCCAGTCGTCAAAATGCAGAGAGCTCAGAAATAAAAGTTGTTGCAACTTCTCCCCCTTCAGGCGATTTCTTTTCTCAGTCATTATGTTTCCTGCCTTTGAAAATAAATGTTCTGAAGGGACAGAAGTTGCAACAACTGACAGATAGGGGCGTACAATTTTATACAAGTAAGGATACATATTAGAATTCTGTTTCCAATATTTGAGGATGTCATCAGTTAAAGATATTGTGGGCTGGTCTAAATAATGTTTTAGATCTGTTGGAATGCGCTCTTCAGACAAGGTAGAACTTTGTGATGCAGCTTTTTTTGTAACCAGCTCAGTGTGAACTGACCACAAACTATCACGCCGATCACTATCATCATCACTAGAGCCTTGGCACGAGGAGGAGTTAAGATCATCACTATTTTTTATTTCACTAATTTTTTTTTTTATAAATTTAATAGCCCTAGCAGTAACGTTAGGGTTATTTAAGTGAATTGTTTTGAATCTCGGGTCTAATATGGTGGCCACAGTAAGCAAACCAATGTCCTCCATCCTACCAAATCTAATATCTAGATTCTCTAACATGGCATTTTTTAACGATAAAGCGATTGGATTTAAAAGAGAAATACCTTCAGTTTTTTTTTTTTATCAGACAATGTTACATATTTCTGGCCACACAGCTCTTTTGTTGCCACTTCCATTGGCCTTAACACTAATATAATTTCTTTTGCTAAATCAATTTCTTCTGCAGTTAACATTATAGGCCCCCCTCGTATATTTATTAAAACAGAGGCTATATGATTGGAACACGAAATAAATCTATCTATCATATAGTATATAGAATTCCAACGAGTTGGTACGGACTGCTTCAGCTTAAGATTACACAATTTCTTAAGTTCATCACAAGCAACTACTGAATGTTTAAAATAAGTAACAACAGACTTTATTTTGTTGATAACTTGTTGTACATCAGCAAGATTTCCCAACGTTCGTTCAGACACTAAATTTAATGTGTGTGCAAAACACGGCAAATGCTTTTCTGGAGTAAAAGTTTTTTTAACTGCACCCAAAATATTTGACCCGTGTTCTGTCTCACCATCCGGGTTGGAATGAAACATACGGGGCGGTACGACAACGGTATTATTGGAAAGGGCAAAAGAACGACGTCAGGTTATATGTCGGGGCGTGCCACGTATGCGCGTGCACGAAACCGCTAAACTCACGCCCAACCGATCCAATACAACCTAGAACCTAAACAACTTCTTGTATCTAATTATTTTGTATTATATTATTATCTGTTAAATATTATGTATATAATAGTGCATTATTATTATTAATTATTAATATCATATAAATGTCAAGGGCCTGTCCCGTTTACTATTATAATAAATAAATAAATAAATATTAATATACGGTACTCGTCTAATATGCTACTTACCCATAAAATGGTATCTACCAAAACACTGTATGCGTGTAGTATGCTACCTACCATAGTTATTTTAATTTCATTTTATTACAGAAAAGTACATTTGAGTCATTAAGATAAATAACATATTATAGCAGTTGTACAAAATTATATCTTAATAGCCATTATGATATCTGATCCACTAAGACCCATGATAACTTACTGTTAGATATATTATTTTAGTCTATATTGTGTCTGTGTTGTGTTCGTGTAAGTATCCTATTCGTTTTTCGAGTTTTACTTTTTATTTTTTTAAATAATTATCGACAAATAAACAAAAATGAATAAATCAATGCCTTATTTGTACGGGCATATAATATGTAATGAGGAAACATGTGTTAATTATCTTCAAGAGAGAAACTTACTCCCAGAACTTGGTAGTTGTTCGAAATTAAAAGAAACTAGGATCAATTATTTATTCAGATCAATGGCGAGCATATAGTACCTTAAAAGATATAGGTTATCATCACGAAACCGTCAATCATTTCGAGTATTTTGTTGATCCTGCAACGGGTGCCCAAACACAAACGATCGAGTGTAAATGGAGACATGTTTTAAAACTAAATACGGAATTAAAACCCGAGGAGCGACAGATTTGTTAGACCGACAATTAATAGAAGAATGGTGGCGGTCCGTTAATACTTAATACCCAACACAATTTATTAGAAGTTTTCTGGAATGATATAAAAATAGTATATGATGTATAATAATATATAATGACGTATTGAAATATTATGAAGTACCTACTTGACAACGGTAAATTAATAAATTATTTAGTAATAAATGGTTGTTAATTTGTTATTATTTTATGGTAGGTAGCTTATTTTACGGTAGGTAGCATACTACACCAACGAAGTAGCTGTAGGTAGCACATTAGACGAGTACCTAATATACTACCAAATATTATAAGTTATCACCAATAATTACCATCACATTACCTAATTAATAAATTTGATTTGATCAACATTGTGGTTTATCGTCTACGACAATAATATGGTCTATGATAGTATCACGGATTGCTGTTGATGTTTAACGCGGTTATAAGTACCTAATGGATATTGTGAAATGATTAATTTGGAATTTATTATAGGTCAATTTTTTTTTTAATACCATCGATAAGTATATTTGTCTTATACTTAGACTAACATACCGTCTCCACTCAGAACCGTTTTTCTTATACAATGATATTTTATCGTTGAATTCAAATTGAACACCATCCATTATACAGTGACCAACTTGTAACCTAATGTACAGCAGAGCGACATCCACTTACTCGTTTTTATATTTATTTGATACTTATATGCTTGCCTATATTGTGTATATAAGTGTCTATATTGTTATGTAGCATGTAAATGTACTTAACTATATTATATTTTCGTTTTTGGTCCATCCAATATTATCTAAGTACCAAATATTGGCTAATCATATTCATCATTGACAGGGTTGGGCATATCATAGTTACATGTAACTAAGTTATGTAACTCGGTTACTTTTGTAACTTGTAACTTGTAACAAGTTACACGTTTTTAATTTAACTTGTAACTTGTAACTAGTTACACACTTTCCTGTAACTTTATATGAAAGTTACAAGCTACACTTTTTTTATTAGTTTCTATTATATTTAAGAATTAAGAATTTTTATTTATTTTGTACAAAATGTACCTATTGGATTACTTTACCTACTACAATTCAGTTAGATAAATAATGTCTCTATACTATAATAATTAGTTTATAATAAATTTAAATTGTTTAAATTTATTGATAATGAAAATAAAAAATAGGTATTAGATGTAAATTTAATATTACTATTGACTGGGTATTATATAAAATAAAAACAATTATTAATTTACATATTATAATATTATATTACACCTCGTATTACATATACTAACCTACTCTCAATAATCAGTTTTAAATAATTAAACAATTTTCATCAAAAATTCAAAATAGAATAATGATGTAGATAAGAAAAGGATTCAAAATGTGTGTATCAATACAGTTGAAAAGTTCGTTATGGAAACCAGTGTTATAGATACTTCAGCTGAAGCAGATGAAGATGATTTTTTGGTATTTTCATCTCAAGACCAAACAAAAGCTGATTCAAAAGCAAATTTGGAAGTCATACAATTTTTTAATGATAAAAATAAATCATTATCAATTTTAAATAATTATGTAGCTATGAAAAAACTACCTATTTGTAAAATGTAATACTAATCTTTGTTCTTCTGCTCCAGTAGAAAGGTTATTTTCATTTGCTGGCATTGCATTGCATTGCTTGTGTGACGGCGATGTGCCTATATACTCGTTCCAGGCGTTTACCTATGACGAGTTGAGTGATATGTGGTGTGTGATTTAATTAGTTAGAGTTAGACCATGGAAAGGGGCGTGGTTTTATGGAATTTGAGGTTGGGTCGGTAGCTGATGTGGATTTTCCAAGACTGCGGATGTGATTGAAAGTAGAATTGAGTTGCGGTGAAATAAGTTCTTGCTGTTAGTTATTATTGATTGCTTGATGGTAGAGTTACGAGTTGAAGAGTGAATTATTTTATTTGATACAAACCATGGGGAGGATGTGATTGTACGGATGCCGATATTTTGGATGGCTTCGAGTTTGCGCCAATTTGTTTTAGATATTAGTGGTCCCCACGCCATTGGAGAATATTAAGTTTTGTTATAATGGGAATACGGCTGGTGCGGTTTAGGATCGGGTACAGCATGCCACGGACGGCGGTGGCTTTCTTGATAGTAGACTTGATGTGTGCTGAGAATGAAAGATTTAGATCAAAGGTTACGCCGAGGTAGTTAGATGTAGGAGACCAGGGGATTTAGTGACCGTTTAGGTCCAGGTAGTGTGAAGCGAAATTGTTGGGGCCGTTGAACATGACCGCAACCGTTTTTTGGGCATTGATGTTGAGACGCCATTTATTGCACCATGCTAGTGTTTCGTTTAATTGATTTTGCAGTTGTATGGCTGCTCTTTTTGGGGTTTGGTTCGAGGTGGTGAACATTGTGTCATCGGCGAATAGGTAAAGCCGGGCGTTTTGGTTGAGGGGAACATCGTTAGTGTAGGCCAAGTAGAGTGTCGGCGAGAGACAAGAGCCTTTCGGTACACCTGAAAGGACTGGTCTACTGCTAGATATAGTGTTGTTTAGTCTTAAAGAGAAGGTACGGTCTGTAAGGAATGAGTTTATTATATTTAGAAGTGGTGTAGGGGTGCCTAAGGTATGGAGCTTGTACAGTAAGCCTGCTTGCCAGACTCAGTCGAAAGCTTTTTCGACGTCCAGAAAGACGGTGGCTGTGCGCAATTTGCTGTTCGAGTTTACTACTAATTGGTCAATTAGGCCGACAATTTGATGAGTTGTGGAATGCTGAGGGCGGAAAGCGAATGGTTGTTTGCGACTGGTGATGTGTAACAAACAGATTGTGGGGGTGGACGAAGTGAGTGGATGAAGGTGGTGACTTCTGGCATGACAGGGCCCGTAGTTGACGTGAATTGGTGTTCGTATGTGTCAGCAAATAATTCAACCTTTTCTTCATCCCTGTACATAAGGCCATTCGGGCCAATCAGCGGATGGACCGCAGGGGTTTTGTTTAGTAGTTTCTTATTTAGCTTGTAAATTGAACCGTCTTGGGCGTCCAGAGTACTGAGGAAGTGATCCCATTCGTCGGCACGGTGTGTGTGGAGGATCCAACATATGAATTTGATTTTGCAGTTTATACGACGTTTGACTAAGGGATCACGAAAACGTTGCCATTCGCGACGTAGGCGATTTTTTGTTTCGATTTCTTCGATGATTTCGGGAGGAAGAGCGTTTTTGAATGTCCGATTATTTTTAATGTATGTGCTGTCGTTGAAAGCGGTTACAATGCTTGTGCTAAGATGGTCGAGAGCCACGTCGATGTCGCGGGCCGTTCTGATTGGCGGGTTGGTCGACAGAAAATAGGAACCAATTTTGGCCATGTATTTAGTCCAATTAACGCATCTTGAGGTTTGAGGAGGCGAGGAGGTGATTGGAGAGTCAGACAGTGTAAGTAGCACAGGATTATGGTCGGAGGAAAGTTCGTTTTTCTTTTACGAGTAATTGTATTTCCAACCAAATCAGCTGATCTCTATAGAAATAAATATTATTTCACAAATATTATTTCACAAATATTATTTCACAAATATTATTATTATTACTACCATCTTAAAGACTTAAAATACCTGTGCTTCTTCAAAAATTAATTTAAACTCATTTTCTGCATCCTCCCTTATATGTGTTATTACCATGATATTTGGAACTTTAATTTTATTTTTTATTACCTACTTTCCAATATTGGAAATTCATAATTATTAGAAGGAACCCAAATGTTTTTCAAAACCTAATAAATAATAAAAACAAATAAGTATATTGTGTAGGTATAGGTTCGATTCGATTGCTAACAAATACAAATATCACAAATCGAAATCCTTACCAATACTTTTTCCTCATTTGTTAATGGACGGTTTAAATAAAAAGCAATATCTAAAATGTTACTCATATCAGAAATGTTGTTTTTTTCATTATCAATACTAGCACAAGGCTCAACAGCATAAGCATTCTCCATGTATGATATGGAGATAAAATAAATTAAATAGGCAAGCCAATAAGCCATACCAATCATATCAATGTCATGTTCATGTAAATAGTAAATAAACTAATTTATTATAAAACTATACCCACCTCGATGTCATGACCAATTTTGTCAATTTAGAGTATTTTGTTCATTCGTTATGTCCAGAGTCTTATCTTGATGTTGAAGCAGTGGTCTATCTTCATTTTCATGGAAATATTTAGTTATTTTTGAAGATTTAATGGCTTTAATATTTTATATCTAATACTTTTTTAAAAATTGTTATAGTCATCAAAATTCAGATTAAAATTTCAAAACTGCAAATTATTAAATAAAATAATGATAATGATAATGATAAAACAATTGTGATAACATGCCTTGAAACACGAGTGCTTCACGCCAGGTTATACGGTTGGCTGGCGCGTTACTGCGCATGCGCAAACTCAATTTACATTTTAATAACTTATAAATATCATCATGTAACCAAGCGGTCCGTCGTGGTCCAGTGGTGGTATGAAGAGTACCTCATGGACAGTGATCAGAGTTAGAACCCCTGGGCTGAAGAAATTGTTTTTTGCACTATTTACATTTTATCAATGGTACGCTGGCATAAGAGTGGTTGTGAGGTGGTTAGCCTGTGGTTACCCAATGACCAACTTGACGTGGTGTTGCACAGCAAGTCGGGGGATATTTTCGATTTGGCGGAGCGGAGCGACGGCGCCGAGGAGCGTAGCGACGAGTGCCGCTAGCATGGCATCACTGTACTTAAAATAATACTTATTTATTATTTTGGAATTTGAAAAAAGTGATAAGACGATAAGCGATAATAGTGATAAGCATGCGATTCCTGAAAATAATCCAAGTCCCAGCGCATGCGCAGTAACGCGCCAGCCAACCGTATAACCTGGCGTGAAGCACTCGTCTTGAAACGACGGAGCGCTATCATTCGTTCTCCGACATAGTACCCATAGATAATATTATAAGAATAGGTATAAAGACGATAATACGATAATACGGACCGCATAAACCATGAAGAGGGGTTCACACTACACCGTGTCGTGTAAATAATCACATACCACAGTGACCAAACGATACCGCATAGTTGAATATAGGTTATTTTAGTTTACCAATGAGAATATTGTACAATATATCATAATATTTTAATTCTTGCAAATTTAATCAATTCTTGATAAAAAAAAAATAATCACAATATTTTAAATAATAATCGTCAAATTATAACGAGTACCTAATTAATTGTGTGTATACAGTCTATGGGGTGGGATCGATCCGCTTGATCCCCGCCCCGTAAATACGCCACTGCTAACTAGTAATTCTTACGTCGTATACGTTTCTCCCAAATGTTGTTTCTATATGATTCCCGTTTCGCCCAGAGCAGTTAAGACCAATTAAAAAAATTAAGTCGGTCATAGTTCAGTAGAATATTGTATTTTAGAACTTTAAGAAGAAATGGTGCTAATTACGCGATCTACAGACAACTAGACAAGTACACAAAAGTATGTGTAATAATTTTAAAAATAAAGTGTAAGTATTAATAAATATATTTTGAACAGTTAGAATCGATTTTATTATATGTGTAGATTTTTAGTTTTTACTATGGGGTAAATTGTATTTTTTAATAATACGTTTTTATAAATATTTTGGACTAAATTTTAATTTTGTTAAATTTATTTCTTTTGCGAAAAACAAAATTTTTTGGAAAACAAAGAGTAATGCTTCCTCGTGGGGTTTTCTTGATAACGCTATATGATACCCAAATATTGAAATATTATAATTTATAATCATTGCCAACTTAATTTTAAATTGGTCTTAACTACTCTGGGCGAAACGGGAATCATATAGAAACAAAATTTGGGCGAAAAGGGTCCCTCCCGTAAAAAAACATGTTATAAAAATTAACTTTGAAGTCAAAAAATCAAGTCAATCTAGGTTTTTTGTGATTTAACAATCAAAATTGAATCAAAAAATCGACCATACATCAAAGAAACCATTACCTGAAGACTAAAATAAAATCCTGCCTATTATATAATTACCCGGCAGTTGTCTCCTATGCTATTAATAATCATTATGGAACTTGTAATGGCCAACGTATTGGTTTGATGAATTTGTTTTTATGGTTCAAAGTCTAATCATATTGTACATTAAATTTATTTATGAATAAAATGTTAAGATGGCACATCAATGTATGTAAATAGGTACCAGATTGTTTTCCCCGCCTTACACTCGTGTAATATAAATGTTGAAATCTCTCCGTATTCACTCAATGTTTAAAATTTAAATTATAGTACCTATTTCCTATTGCCCATTAGCTATTATAACGATTATAAAGAATAACATTATCTGTAAAACTGTGTTGTGACGGAAGCTTTTTTAAATATTTTTATTTAAATTTTTTTTTTTATTAAATAGGTAGATAGGTAATTAAAAAAAATTATTAAATTAAATACTTATAACTTTCTTACAAACCAAAATAATAAAAAATAAAAATATTCTAAGAAATCAGATAATATTATTTTATTAAATGGTATTAATAAGTAAGATTACCTTAATTTTAATAATGTAATCACAATTATTGGCAGTTTTTGTTACGTTTTTTTTTTTTTTTTCATTAATTAACCTGCGGCAAGTTAAGCCATTGGGTGGTTTTTAACTGTGTGAGACGGTATTGTAGGTACCTATATAGACACGTGTGTTCTACTATTGACTATAATTTATAATTAGTAAGTACTTACATAGTAAAATGTTTATTTATGTCAAATGTAAATATACGTTTGACGTGTGTAAGATAGAGAAAATGTTTCACCTACACTCTATTCAGTTGAAGTTGACCCACTCGTCAGACGAAAACTGGTCGAGACCTCGCAGGCCACCTCGTCTTTGGAGCACTAGTGGTGATCGTCGCCAATAGCAGCTGCCTACTACGCCAAGCATAGGGTTGCGCAAATATTTTCGATGATATCGAAATAACGGTATTTCAAAAAAAAAAATTCGATATTATCGTATCGATATTTTGTAATCGATATATCACATTTATCGATATTATTATATCTCGATATTAAAATTTTTTTTAAATTTTGAATAATCATAATTATCCACGCATTATTTTATATTACCCAGTATGATATAAAATAGAAGGTCTGTAACCACAGATATATAAACATAATATGTTTACCAACCACAGTTATCACGGTATCACGAACCACAGTATCACGAACTATATATCTTAGTTCGTGGTTAGTATGGTAACAGCAGAAATCAAGATGTATCATTTATATATTATTATGTTATTTTTCTAGTGGCCCATTATAGATCCACCCCCCGCCGGTCTATAAATTGTTATCAAATTTCTATCGCCAATAGCAGCTGTGGCCTGTGGTAGAAACAACTATTCAGAACCAAAATATAATATCTATTTATAGATTATAATATTATTATTTATTTAAATTCTTGAAAGTTGAAGATAATAATATTAATATTACTAGTAAGTAGTAACCACTTACGAGTTACGACTTACCACTAGTGTCTAGTAGGCAGTAGCAGACGGCAGAATATTATAAAAGAACGTTCCTAGTGAATATTTTAATGTAAAAATACGTTTGTTGTTTATTGTGTATCGTTACTCGTCAGTGTTAATTTGTTAATCATATTTTTAACAGGTACACAGTACCTAGTACAGTTCAATATTTTACTAATAATTAACAAATAATGATATCTAAATGCGTGCTATTGAAATATTTTACCAAAATAGATCAATTTAACTATACATGTAAGAAGTGTGGTAAAGATTACAAGACACCTAACGGAGGAGTAGGTAATCTTAGAAAGCATTATGAAATTCATTCAATAGAGCCCCAAGATGATGTAAATCCAAACAAAAAAGCAAAAATGCAATCTGTAATAGCACCACTTAATGATCCTCCATCCCTAATTGATGACCCAGTACCTTTGGAGAGTGTAAATATAATCAAACATAGAATAATTTAAATTATTGTAAACATATCAGTGCCAACTATGGATATTATTTGTTATTTATTGAATACACAAGTACCAATAATCGCCTATGTTTAAAGCCTATTTTAGACGTTAAGACAAGGTGGAACAGTGGATTTTACATGTTGGAAAGGTTTTTGAAGTTGGCAAACAATATATCACATGTTTTGATGAACTTTCCAGAGACTGATGCACCGGATATGATTTCGTCTACTGAACTGAGAAATCTTAAAGACATTTGTTTATTGTTAGGATCAATGGAAGTGCTTACCAAGGAATTGTCAGTGGAAAAGTCAGTTATGTCGAGTAAGATAATACCACTCATCTCCTGCACAAAAAATGAATTGGAAAAACAAAATCCAGAATTATGTATAACCAAAAACCTAAAACAGAAGCTACTAGAAGAATTAAACTATAGATGTAGTCTATATGATAAGGGTTCAATATTGGCTATCTGCACCATTTTGGATCCAAGATTCAAAGACTTACATCTGAGGGACCCATTGATTAATTCAAAAACACAAAGTATTATTGTAAGTATGATGGAATCAGAAGACTCAGACGATGATACAAGATATACTAGTACAGACACTACAACAAATAATGACGGCGAAAGTCTGTCAACTTTAACTGAATAGAGTATACAATTTACTGGGCCATTATTATAACTTAAAACATTACCATTCTGCCCATTCGACTTGCTAACTACATATTCGACTATCTGGATATGATAAACCATATTTTGTGTTAATAGTTTATCTGAATTCTATATTCATTTCTTGTTTCATAATGTTTAATACATTTCTAATTCCATTAGAAAATTAAATATACCCATATAGTTATAATAAATTATAGGTACGTTATAACACACGCATTTTAAAATTAAAATAAATACAAATGTAACATCTGGCCTTTAAGATTTACATTAATGAAAATCGATTTTCAGTGTTTGTATGGAAACCAAAACGTTTTAATAATATGTCCATAAAGTAGAAATATTGTACAATATATTTAATACAATATTATATTTAGGCCGCATAATTAATTTACATTTTTAGTTTTATTCGACCTAATGTCACCTAATACACCCAATCTACTATCTAGTAGAGACAATTTTAATAATTTTTATTCTGAATTTGATCTAAGGGAAAAAATTGGTGAAGGCTCGTTTTCTGATGTATGGTTATGCGTGCATCGGAACAACGGACGAGAATATGCGGCAAAAGTATTGAAAAAAGATTATGGACATACAGTAGACGCTGATAAATGGAACGCTATATCCGAAGTTAATGTATCAAACTCGGTGGGAAAACATCCGTTCTTACTTATGCTAAAAAGCGCATACCACGATAAAGAAAAAGGACAAATTATTTTAGTAACAGAATTAATGAAAAAATCACTTTACGATATTATAGAAAACGGAGAATGTCCACTATCAGAATATAGAATTAAAACTTATATGTATCAAATGTTGGAAGGTATAATTGTTGTAACAAATATTAATAATTATAATATTATTCACTAGAACGTTTTTTAAAGGCTTAAGGTATTTGCACGAGAATGGCTTTATCCATAGGGATATCAAACCAGAAAATATTTTGCTCACGTCGCGGGACAAGATATTAAAGATTGGTGATTTTGGAACCACATGTCAAGCCATTTATGGCCATCAGTACAAACAATACGTGGCAACTAGATGGTACCGGTCACCTGAATGCTTGTTAACAAAAGGTTGGTACAATTCAAAGATGGATATTTGGGCAACGGGATGTGTACTTTATGAAATAGCTACCGGTCATCCGTTGTTCGATGGTCGAGACGAAAATGACCAAATTGAAAAGATTGACCTTGTATTAGGCTCTCCAGACCAAAGATTAATTAATAAATTTAAAAAATATAAATCTGATGTGTTCGTTGCACGATACGAAACTAATAAACGAAATGACAGAACCACTGGAGTTGGACTGCATTCAGTGTACCAACCATACCGTCCGGCATATGATTTAATCATAGATATGATAGTGTATGATCCATCCAAGAGGTATTCGGCTAATCGATTATTACGAAAGTCATACTTTTATGAGATGAACAATACGGCGTTTGAATATAAAATGAGAGAGTTTGAAAAATTGCTGAGAAATAAATCAATAATTAACTTATCCAAGATAGATGAAAAAGTAAGTTATATAAACAGACAGATGGTGTTTAATAGTATGTAGAATTGTAGAATGCAGATAAGTAAAACTATTTATTTTACTACTTATATTACTAATATAACTACTACTTATTTTTTTTTTTATATAAGAATAAGTAACTACTTTTTTAAATATGTTTATTATAAAATATTTAAATTGTAAATTTTAAATTAAACTTTTTATACATAGGTATTTATAAGCTACTTGAAATATTTCGTGAATCGTGATTTTAAATACCAATTGAACGTACGATGATCGTGTATTGTCTAATTTATGTAGTACCTACCTATAATATCAAATTTAAAACATATAAGGTATACCTAATTACAGTTTCCATAGAAAATCGTTATAATCTTTAGTAATTTAATATAGGTTTATAACTTATATTATATCATTGTAGGAATACTGATAAGGATAATCATCCCGCCTCGTTTTACAAATATCGGTAAAACATTAACTACCTATAATTCTTGTGAAAACTGTAAACAATTATTTACTTCAAAAAATATAATATTAATAATATTTATTTAATATATTTATTAAACTTCTACTATTTAGTCGAACACAACAATAAACAGGCAGTCTTCGATAATTAAAAAGCAAGGTCCTGGCGGAGATCGTATACAAAATGTGCAGACACATTCGGTAATTGCTGAAACATATAATAGATTATCTGCAGACATAAGTCAGAAAATTGATCGTCCTAAATTGGATAAAAGAAAGTCGAACGGGCATAAAATATCATGTTCAAAGACCAATATAAAAAAATCTATAATCATCCCAGAACCTGAAAATATTCTATATGGAAATCGAAAACAAAATTCACTTAATATAATATGTTCATTGGACAATACAAAAGATATTTCTTCGTCAAAACAAATGTTGACGGAATCAGTATCGACGTCAAACAAAGGCTCAGTAATAAAAAATATTAAAAATCAATTTGTTAACCGTCAGCCGTTCAAATGATAAAATTACAAGATTTTTTCAAAACAAAATTTCTTGAATTCAATTTTAATTACTAAATAAGCTGTTGTATTTTGTTTAAAATGGAATAACAACACAGGAGATTTTTGTTGCGTTTCCCGCCTACCAGTTCCCATTAAATAAGAGACTTAATTGTAAAAAGTGTAATCAATATTTTACAAGACGTAGGTACCATTTATTTATTTAGGTAGGTGCCTATAATAGAAGGTTTACCAAGCACCAGCTGTAATTATTCCATTTGAATAATGTATAAATGTCTTAACTCATTGTATGTATCCCAGGGCAGTCATTTATCCCTTATCTTATTTAACACATTTATTAATGTTCTTTATTCACCAATTGTAAATTTCTGTTATTTGCAGATGATTTAAAATTATATTTATCTATTAATTCTATCGATGATTGTAATTAATTACAAAATGGTTTAATTATATAATTAATTTTACAAAATTTAATTTATTTTAAATATGTGATTTGAGAAAAAAATGACTTAACGTGCCAATAAAATTAATTAACTCGTTAAGTTACTGAATAACATGGGGAAAAATGTAACTCGTTAAGTTAAAAGTTACTTCTAAAAAAAAAGTAACTCGTTAATTAACTTAGTTAAAAGTAATTTAACTTCTTAACTTATTAACTCGTTAATACATATTGCATATTTGTACTATAGTCAATATTAGAATCGCCTAATATTTATTATTGTTTTTATAAACTTAGAGGCTCAAATCGCCATACATATTCTGTGAAGGTCGCGCAAGTCGCTATATATTATATTATTACATTTGTTTTTGTGTCAAATTATTTATACAGGCACAGGTAGCAAGCTGGCAAGCCGTGCACGGAAAAACTTGTGAGTTTTTATACATATTATTATCATAGGTTTTACGAGCTTACTGCTCAAACGACGGTAGCTATACCTATATTTTATTCTGTTGGGCCAGGAGGGCCACATATTATTATACATATTGTACTATTTTGGCTTACGGGCAGTGCTTAATTATATTATAAATCTATTGTCTTTTTACCAATAATACAGAAATTTAAATAGCGTAATTTTTTAGTTACCATTCTTTATATTACCTTTCTGTCAATAGTTAAAAGTATGTAATACACATACATATACACACCAACACCCATCATTGCACTACATAACTCACTAGTATTTGCGGGGCGAACCCAAACAATGCTAGTTAAGCTATTACACCACTATACCCCAGTCAGGTCGGTCGGTGCGTGAGTGGAGCGGGAAGTGGGGTTTTATCGACTCCGCCGTTTTAATATCAATTCCGCCGGATTTTTGTTTATATTGATTCCGCCGACTATCGATTCCGTCAGTTATTTATTTATGTTGATTCCGCCGACTGTTTATTAAACAATAACCAAAGTATCATATTGTACAGAAATTTTTTTTTAATTAACAGCATAGGTTAGGGTACACTTAGTATAAAGTAAGCTTTATATAAATAAAAATATTGTCGTCCATGACGGATAATATTTATTAAAATAATAAAATAATATAACTCAAATATCTAGTATATCTAGTTTTACAAAATTAAGTAAGATCGTCATATTTTTAAATAATTAATTAATAATAATAATTCCGTGTTATGGTAAGGTAAAAAAAAAATTAAACAATACAAATATATACAAATTGGTCATTTTTTTAAATAGTGGTTTGATGCTAGTTTTATATAAGTGAATCTATGAATTTTTTAGATTCTGAGTGAAACGATGAATGTATTGATTTTACAATGATGTGTGCTTTTTTATTTTTTTTGTTTCTGTGTACACTGTGTAGTCGAAATATTTCTATGAATATCAATAAAGTTTTATCTGTTGGGCCAAAAAGTGTAAAAATTTAATACAAGGCTCCTGATATATTGTTACAATATCAGTTGAAAAATGTTAAAAATACATATGCACAATTTTTTTTTATAAGCATTTAAACATCGAATTTTGACAGAATTTTTCAAAATCTCGAAAATTATTAATCATCGTAATTAACCCTTAAATGCATATAGTTGCATTCATGCAACGTTATGAATTTTTATATATTCTGACCTTAAAACTACTGGTAGGTAGTTTGTGATTAAACCATCGTATTCGTTAAATAATTCTGATTATTTTGTTATCTTATTTGTTTACTGTTACGTGTTTATTTATTAAGTAATAATACATGGAAACTGACGAGTGATTGTACGGTGACCAAATGGCTATATGATAACTTTGAAAAATCATAAAACTGATAATATATGTGTTATCTAAAATGAAAAAATGAGTATAGCTTATCGTACATCTAAACTATTGTGGGGTTCGAGTCGTTATCACGACCGAACACCAACGATTAAAAAATAAACAAGAACGCGTATAACGTGTAAGTGCGCGATGCGCGGTTTATTACAGAAAACAATTATATTTTACAAACAGGCGAAAGGATCGAGTCGATCGGCGCTCGG